CCTATCCCTTTTTGTTGTTAAAAATTGTTTTTACTTTAATAGATTACATATTACTGTATAGATTTTTAATTTCCATCATTGATTTCCTACTACCCTTGTGGTTGAAAATCATACTCCATTGTGTAAATTCATTTGTAGGTATCAGTAGAGATAACTGGTAAAGACCCATCAAGCTTGGAATCTTTCCATCCATGTGTTTTGTTGCTATAATATGCCATCTCTCAGTATCTTTACATCTTTTCAATTCTAAATTATTAATTTTGCCCTCTTTTTTTTTTTGCTGTTGTTATGGTCATGAAAAGTCATGCTGCTTTGACCCATGAGTGAGTTAACCTGTGTGTTTCTTTTTATTGTTGTATTTTATCTTCTTGGTCAAATTGTTTTTTCTTAACTTTATTAGATTCCCTATCATGTGGCAGATATTGTGTTAATTGAAATTTTACTTTTCCAGTAACTATGCATTTTCTTTATTCAATTTCTGTAGTGCACATTAGTGTATAGAAGACATTTTGATACTAGTAATAAATGACCTTATAACACCAAAATGTTGTTTTTATTTAATTGGACACTCAATGTTTCACTTTATAGCTACTTCAGGAGCATTCAACTAAAATTGTCAGCTACAGTTTGTGTTTTAGTGGAATGCTCCTGAAGTAGCTATAAAGTGAAATGTTGAGTGACCAACTAAATAAAAACAACATTTTGGTGTTATAAAGTCATTTATTTCTAGTATTGATTTGTATTATGGTATTAAGGTAAGTTTGGGTAATCCATTTATAACAACTTGATGTGGGGTTTCTCACACTATTCATAAAATATTTTCAATTTTTTTCCCATGGCAGTAGTTTTATAATTTGTGGAACCCTGTGTCTTCCAGTTAATTGGGTTTTGAATCATTCCTTCAGCTTCCAGTGTTTTCTTTTAATCTTTATTTCAGAGTCATTAGTCTTATAAGTATCCAATATGGATGGTCTTGTCTATCATAATTACAATTTCCATTGTAGATTGCGATGAGTTCAAAGTAAATAAGATAAAGCAAAGTTCCTTTGTACATAGAAATGGAGTAGATTCATGGATGGTATTATGGCCATTGTTTCTTTATTTCTTTCCAATTCTCTTATCAAGAAATAAGTTGTCATATTTGAAAGCTTGAAGAACCAAGTTATTATGTTATCTTTGATTCTATGAGAATTACTTCAAGATAATGATTTATACAGCTGATAATCTACTATGTATGCAGGAAAATTTCATGACCTGTGATTCATCATTCATTAATAAAAGTATAATTTTATGTTAAAAATGAAAAGAAGACAGAAGAGAGAGAGTTTACTTAACACTCAAAGCATTTAATTTCATGTTCATCCAGAGTTGAAGGCTTTATTTATTCTGTTTCACTTCTCTTCCTCTCAGTTTTTTTCTTCTTCATCACAAAAACCACCATATCATGAATGAAATATAGTAACTTTATACTTCAGTTGTATGTAAAATGCATTTACGTACTTTAGGCTTAGTATACAAGGAAAACTTCTTGATTGAAACTTTCTGATGATTTTGGGTGAACTGACATAACATTGACATTTCAGGAGCAGCATGGGACCTTTGGCCCATCTTCACTGTCCCACTCAGTTCATCAACAAGCCATCTTTCTATATCCAGCCCTGATTTTTTAAAGCACTTGTCACACTTTTTCTTTAACTCTCCCAACCTATTCTAAAAGCTGTTTGAAAAGACTACTACTAACTTGTCAAATCTTAAATCTTTGCCCACTAGTTCTACCACTCATTTCATTAAACACATACACAAAAAAAAATATGATGCATCAGCTATATGTATTTCATTAATAAAGTTTAACACTTCAATTGGGGAAGATCATTTTATGTGCTGTAACCTGTCCTCAAGTGATAGCACTTCCATCTCAGGAAATTATCCTCTATATCTCCTTTGAACCCTTTTGTACAACTCAATGTCATTTTTAAAGTAGGAGCCAGGACTGAAAAACAACACTCTTAATGTGTCCTAATCATGAATCCATGGTTATGCATGTAAAATTCCCATAGATATAACCCCAAATCCTATTTGCTGGAAGGCAAAGAGACTGATTGACAAAAACACCATGATACTTTTCTTCTATAGTTGTGTTTCTTCCATTAAGATGGTAATTATAGTTTAAATTATCCATTAAACATTTAATTCTACACTTTTTAGGATTATGTTAGCAGTGCTTCATGTTCAAAAAATGGACAGAGGTTGTAAACGGCCCCTGTCAACAGCTTTAACACCCTTTCCCCATTTGTAGTTGCTAAGGGGTTTGACCTGATCCTACAGATGCGAGGCCTAAATATGGCCACTTCTTCGAAAGAGGAATTAGCGTGACAGGGAGACTCAACTGGGTAATGAGGGAAGTTTTGAAATACATTTGAAAAGTATTAGTTAAAACATTCATTATAGTAAATTGATAACATATCATCACATTTTTGTTAAGTAATTTCAGTTAGATAATGATCTGTATTATACCACAGACAAAAATATAGGTTATACATGTTAGCCAATCGAGAGCCACGAAGAGAGCGTGTACAAAGCAGTGGGGTAACCAGAGGTTTAATATAGTTATTGTAAGGAAATGAAATTATGTGACATGGTATAACACAGAATTATTTCTACTAAATTTGAAAATATTATATTGTAGTCCAATTCTTTCCAAATTTCTCATGTGACATACAAAAATAGTGATATGCCATTTATTGAAGGAGTTATAAAAAAAACTCTCGAAATAGCATTCACAGGAATTCATGGAAAGTACTGCACTGCATGAATTTTCTGTTATCGTAAGAGTAAACTCAGCATTCCTTAAAGTGAAAAATCTTCAGTTAATTATGTAGTAGACATGTGAAGTATTTGTACAAAATGATTTGCCCTAAATAGATAAAGGAATCTACCAAATTGTGCAGATCTACAGCTCGAGTCTTCAAGATGTCCTTGATGTGTTATCCAGTTGTAAGGTTTTAGAATTAATATAAAAATAAAGTAAGCTATAATTAAAATTTTATATGTTTTATCTCAATAAGATCGTTGAAGAAATGGTTAAGCTTATTTACTGTCATTCCAAGTGTACATTTTTGAGAGTTCTGCTGATAAACTTTAACTTCTAGTTTTGAACACTTGTGTCTCTGATACTATAACACAACTGAAACACCTGGAAATCCTTTTGTTTAACACTTTAGAAATAAATTCTAATGAAAAGTTTAAATTTTTCAACTAATACTACTAAATTTTATGTACAGAGAAAAGCTAGATGAGGTTTGTGATCATGTCATATAGCGCTCATTTTATCAGAAAGTTAAAATGGGTTATAAAAACTGCATAAAGATGTTAGTTAATAACAATATTCGTATGTTTAGTCATGCATTTTTAATAATCTGACACACCAGTTTTACAGGATTTAATATAGAAATTAGAGGTAGTTGTGGTTAATGGAAGCCTCTGCAATTTGCAGTTATATTCTAGTTGTGGTTAATGGAAGCCTCTGCAACTTGCAGTTATATTCCAGAGGCTTCCGTTAACCACAACTACAACTTGCAGTTATATTCTAGTTGTGGTTAAAGGAAGCCTCTGTAACTTGCAGTTATATTCTAGTTGTGGTTAACGGAAGCCTCTGCAATTTGCAGTTATATTCTAGTTCTACTAGGAAACGGGTAGTATGACAAAGCAAAATAGTTGCAATTTCAAAAGTTAAATATCTTGTTTTTATGAAGTCATAATGTATATTTAAAATAAGAAGTCATCTAGAACAGATCATCATGATGACAGAGTCTAAACTGTGAAAACCTGTGGCCAGTCTGTTTAGACATGAACCTTATCTGTTGGATATCTTTGATAGAAAAAGCTACCTAAATTATATATGTACTGTACTCAAGTCACTGACTTCTTACTGTATTTGTTACTTAAATCAAGCCTTATTTTAATTTTGTTAAATACAAAATAAATGGAAGAGATATCAAGTGTTTTAAAACAAATAATAATAATCGGTGTTTATGGAATGTTTCTCAGCTTAAGGTATATACATATATCTTTTTGCTTGTTCAGCACCAGTACATTTTAAGTAACGTAAATTGAAGTACAATTCCTTACACATCGATACTGAAATTAATTGCATAGTGCCTGTTGTTGCATAATGCTAAATGGACATATTTTTTCAGTGTTACATCTGAAAAGCTCACTTGTGAAGACCTGATTTAAATGCACACAGTTCTGATACGGAAATTAAGACTAGTACATTAGAGTATTAAGAACTTAATATTTTGTGTTGTCAAATGGGTTTGAAATCCTGTTATGTAAAACCTATTAATAATTTCATACATTCTTAAGTACCATTTTCGTACTTTCAAAGAATATTAATTTTTTTAGTAATTTCTATTTTGATTTTTTTTTGCTAGCAATACCAGTTTAGATAATGTACATGTAGCTACATGAACTTTCCCCACAATCTAATAAACTTTGGTTTACTAGGCCCTGTGTCAAGGACCTTGCAATTATATTTAAAGAAAGTATCACATTAGTATTTATGCATTAACTTAATAGCAGTGTAAAAGAAAATAAGAGTTAAATTTCGATTTTCTTTTTAAATGTTTTATTTCATTTCTCTAAGCTAGCAATATATATAATTTCTAATTTCATTATTGTGTTGGGGTTTCTAGTTGAATAAAGATAATGGCCTGTAACATTTATGATTGTATCTGAGTTGAGGTTACAATGGCCATATCCATAAAAGATTGCAAAAAAAAAGTGGAGTAATAAGCTCATGTTGTATACTAACATTTTTCTTGTGCCAGTAACTTGTTATTTTATTTGGAAAATAGCTTTATGTTTTGGCTAATTGGCATTTTGCAAAGGTTTTTCTCGAGCAAGAACAACTAGCTAAATTGAAAATATTATAAAAAGTTTAAAATGATACAATGAGGATGACAGAAATGATTTATAGAGAATAAGTTTATCTAAATAATGTATAGAAGACCATTAAGCATTTCGTGAGTTCAGACTTAATGAATTAGGTTAGTTTAATGGAATTTCAAATTCAAGATAGAGACTAGGAAATCCTTTCATTCAGATTCCACTTAAATTACATTGTGTATGTAAATAGAATTAATTGGATGAAATTACTCCGAGATAAAAAAAAAAAGAATACAGGCATATTTTATCTTCCAAAGAAAGTGAATTTCAACAAATTGTGTTCAATTATAGAATTTTTAACAATTTAATTATTACATTAATTATTACACATTCAACTTATTGTTTTTTTATTAAATTTCCGAGTATTTTGTTTGTCTGTGCTTTAATGAATTAAAATAGTTAATTTCTTTTCTGGTGTTAAAATATTTAAGTTCTTGTACATTACTTAAAGCAAAATGTTTTATCAAACTTTTTTGACACTTTATGCTAAACAGAACTGTATTAATGCTCAATTTTAAAAACTCATAAATGTGAACTGTCTGGCAAAGTTTGCAAATTCGGTTTGGTACATTTTTTTGTGTACTTTTTGCCCAAGGTAGTATGTTAAAATTCGGGAAACATGCTTGAAACTAATACAAAACTACATTAAAACAATGTTGCATATTAGCAAAACTTTTAGCATGATAAGGAATTTTATTGGACACAATTTGTAATTAAATATAATGTAATAAAGTAAGAGAGATGGATAAGAAGTTTTATCAACTTTTTATGACTTCCTGAAAAAATATTTTGCTTTGTTTGATGCTTGATGTAGTTTTATGTCCATAATACTCAAATTTATTAAAATGTTTTGCAGCAACAAGAACAGGATCCTACCAATCTTTACATTGCAAATTTACCTTTGGAGCTCACAGAAACAGACCTTGAAAAGCTATTATCTTCATATGGTACTGTCATTTCTACTAGAATTCTTCGAGACAGCAACATGTTTTCTCGAGGTGTGGGTTTTGCAAG